GCGGCTTAGGAAAATGCTGACACAAAAACCAATATTCTACATGCCAAGGGTCAACTAAAAGAATCCATTACCAACATCGGCAGAGCGTCTCTTTTCGAAGACCCATAAAAACAACTACCTATATCTCTGGCGTATCAGGCGGACGAGTAAAAACGATAGTGGAATTTTTAACTACACCTCACCGTGTGATTCCTTATCATGTAATGTTTTTGCGGACTATGGATCATTATTATGTGAGTCAGAGTTAGGAATAAATAATATGCGATAGTTTACCCTTAATTTGTTGCCTAACGTTTATATTAACGGGGAATCTACCTCTGATGTATTGTGAACAAGGGCTAGAATGGCATAGGGAACTCAACAAATGAGTTACCTATACAGGGTGTTTTTTTGGGAGCTTTAGTTAAAAGTTTCTGGGAAAGTAAAATAGGTAGGTTTTTGAAAATTTGTACTTAGGAGTTACTCTGAAGGCTGAATCGATGTAAAATATTTTCAAAATGGCCGCACTTCCGGAAACACCGGAAGTAGATAGTAACTTCGTTATTTTAAATGGCAACCCCTATTTTTTATTGCATTTTTCGATTCTATGTGAAATTTCAGTTCTTTTGATTCCCATATGTCGATATCTGCCATTTATGGTTTTTAAGTTATTTTGACTTTAAGAAAAAAAATGGCGGATGCAGATGGTACCTTGATAATTGATTACTTGAAAACGGTTGTAGTCATGGCAACCTATTTTTATCAGTGAATAGAGAATGAATAGGGCTTTCTTTTAGTGCACTTAAAACAAAGTTAAGTTGTATACAACCGCCCCTATGGAGATCCAAATTTAAGAAACTTCAAAGTCTATAAACTCCGTTTTTTTAAATGGAATGACCATGTTCTTAATATTGCATGAGATAGAGAATCGAAATTGGCATATTTTGATATTACATGTTCCTATAGCTATCTTTAACAGTTTCTGACTTATTCCCATTTTATTGAATTGACACTATTTTTTTCGGATTTTCTTTTTAGTAGTCGGCCATGATTCTATAACAATTGAATTTTAAACAAATCTAGTGACACTAATCCATCACCCACTGTTATAGGTTAACATAAGTTTTTCAAAAATCGAAAAATGACTCGCAGTGGTTTCACCTATTTTGGAATTTAATTGTTATTTATGGTGAAATGGGCAGAATCGCGGCGCGTGCTTTCCGTACATTCACTCAAAACTGGAACGAAATTGTATGAATTTTGGAAATTTTGTACCCCTAATGCACTACAAACCGTTGAAGCACAAGTGATACAAAGCTCTACAAGAGAATATTTAAGAAAATGAATTGAATTGCAAATGCAAGATTAACATATTAAATTCAATGCAAAATATAAAAAACTTCGTTGAAACATTTTTGGTATGGAATTGTTGCTAGAACAGATATCACATTACCTCTCTTAATTTCCAGACTTGTTTAAGAAATTCAGTTGAACGACTCTGTTTAGATTTTTCAAAAATTTTCCGTCCTATATCCTTAATAAATGAGTTATTTATTAATGAATTATTTAGACTAGAACTAGAATCAATGGTATTAAAGAATCCATTCCTTGATTTGTTTAAAATTCGATTGTTATAAAATCATGGCCAACTACTAAAAAGAAAATGCGAAAAAAATGGCATCAATTCCGAGATCAATTCAATGGAATGGGAATAAATCAGAAACTGTTCAAGATAGCTATAGGAACATGTATAGTCAAAATATGCCAATTTCGATTCTCTATCTCATGCAATATTAAGAACATGGTCATTCCATTAAAAAAAACTGAGTTTTTAGTCTTTGAAGTTTCATAAATTTGGATATCCATAGGGGGGTCGTACGCAACTTAACTTTTTTTTAAGTGCACTAAAAGAAAGCCCTATTCATTCTCTATGCACTGATAAAAATAGGTTGCCATGACTACAACCGTTTTCAAGTAATCAAATATCAAGGTACCATCTGCATCCGCCATTTTTTTTCTTAAAGTCAAAATAACTTAAAAACCATAAATGGCAGATATCGACATATGGGTATCAAAAGAACTGAAATTTCAAGTAGAATCCAAAAATGCAATAAAAAATAGGGGTTGCCATTTAAAATAACGAAGTTACTATCTACTTCCGGTGTTTCCGGAAGTGCGGCCATTTTGAAAATATTTTACAGCGATTCGGCCTTCAGAGTAACTCCTAAGTACAAATTTTCAAAAACCTACCTATTTTACTTTCCCAGAAACTTTTAACTAAAGCTCCCAAAAAAACACCCTGTACATAACAGGTCTTTTAACACATTTCCAAAATAAAAGGCTCTTGTTGGCATATTGTGCATCAGACCATTTATCTATTTCTGCTGTCGTTCGTTCGTCCGTCCATCTGTGTGTATTACTTATCCACTTAAAAAGCAATTTCTCTACTTCGTTTGGTATTTTGTTCGATATGATTCTGAGGCCTTCGATCAGAAATGATTCCAAACAATTATTGCAAAAAGTACAGTCCTGCATCTTCCTGCAGAAAATTGTAGACCCTTATTTACCAAATTAAAGCTGTGTGTGTATACTCTTTGTTGCGGTGCTATATTTCAATGTCTTGGTTCTTAACCTTTCAGCATGGAAACTGATGACAATATAAAAGTCGAACATAGGTATTGGTTTGGTTTATAGGTAACAAATTATTCCCAATATTTATCTAGGTATCGTATGTCATTGTTTTATAAGTAACTAAGAATTTTTGGTCCTTACATAGTTGTTAACTTTGTTTTGTATACTAAGGGTAAGATCTTTGTCTACCAAGATATACAAAATGGTTGACAAAGATCTTGCCCTAAGTATACAAAACAAAGTTAGTAAATAAGAATCAATTTAGCGCTTTTCAAAGGTTTTATTTTTCGAAAAAACATTATTGGGAAATGTTTTTTTTAGTAATATTTCTTGCATTTCGACCAATAAAAACTGACTTTCTTTACACGACTTGAACGACCAAAACGCGAATCTTCTCTTATTTTCGGGACCAAATGGACACTTTCAAATATAAAACGCGAATCCCCGTGTTCCCAAAAAATAATGCCGTCGTTTAATTACTTAGTAATTTTTTCACGCCCACAATGGCGAATGATCTTTTAAAATGGCGATGTTTAAATTTTCAATGGTCAGTGTCATTTTTGGTACCAATCTCAGATGGTTTTAAAGGTCGGTAATCATTTCAAAAAATGCACGTTCAGCAATGTTCACGGCTCAAGTTTAACTCATGATGGGCTCACTAATGTAATACTGTATCTACATTAAAAAAGACTGACTTTGCACCCGAACACCGCTATCTTGACGCTTCAAGCAATTAAGAAACAAAACGAGCTTAATTCTACAAGGTGTTGTGGCAAACCGTAGTCAACCTGCAAGTTAGAATTAAAATTTTTTCTACATATTTTCTTATATCCTTAATATCCAACCTTGAAAACTCAATACATGTTGAATCTCTGTGCATGAGGCTAATAATCCTAATATTGTTATAAAAGAGGCCGACTCAATGCAGATCTACTGCTCTTTAATGCATTTTATTTAGCAATTTACTGGAGCTAAAGTTCTACAAACGGCAGATCTGTAAAACATACTCGCAGCAAGTATCTAGTTAAATTATAGTTACTTCTAATAAAAAGTAACTATTTACTATACGTAAGTATTTAAGATACTTTACAGTATATAAGTCTAGAGTAAAGTTCGGCATTTTTTGATATTTATTGTGATATCACTTAAGAAATTTGTTTATTACCTCAAAATCAAGCGAAATTGAGTATATATGGTATGGATACGCTTTACTATAGAAAATTATTGGATTGTAACGCAAATTAACGAAACAGAAAATGAAAACCTAAACATTTACATAATACTTTACAAATAACATTTAACGACCTAACCAAAATTTATTTTTTATAATATTCTAGAATCCAGATAGATTATATAAAACAGCTTTACATGAAAAGAAATTAACAAACAGTTCAATGAGCTAAATCCAATAAATCCATAGATAGATGTATTGTATAGGAAGAATATAAATTTTGTACTTGTATTACATGTATGTACGATGTACCTAAGTCACATTTATCTCAAACATTTTTATTGGACCGTAAAAGAACTAAACGCTCAAAATTTTCGTCGTAGAGGATCAATAAAAATGGAGAATGAAAACAATCACTCTACAGGCGCAGAAGAAGGTCTAAGATGCTTTTAAAGTATCCAAGATACTCTGAAAGTATCTTAGTTACTTTTCGTGGTATCTAGATACTTTAGAGTAACTTTTGTATAAAACAAAGTTACTTTTTGGCTCAAGAGAAAAGTATCTTAGATACTTTCAGTAACTAGATACCGAAAATACACTTTTTCTAAAAATATTTACAGCTCTGACAAACGGTATTGTATACAACCGGAACAATTAAAATATTGAACTTTCAAATCAAGGATTTGTTGAGCCGAATCCGTTCCTATAGGTAATCAACTACAAATCGTTATAATTGAAAAAATATTAATCAAATTTGAAGATTGTTAGAACGTATTTAGATCAGTAGTCTATTATACTTGTGGTAAATATTTGCGGTAAGGGTAAGCGAACAAAGGATTTCTCCGATTTGTTGGAATATGATGGGTACCTACGCTTTTATTTTAAGCTCGATTGTTAACCTTAAGAATATTTAATTGATAATTAATGAGACACCGAAGGACTGTAAATGATTGTTAAATAAGTATTTGAACAAGGGGCAAGACAGTTGCATTAATTTTTCAAACTGAGTAGGTATGTTTACTTAGTGCTGGATAAATTCACTAAATATGCATTTTAGTAACTTTGGATGGTACACGTGGAGTTCAAAATTGAATATTAACGGGTTGTGTGAACGACAACACGTGCGTCGTGCAGGGGTAGATATTAAACTAACCCTTTTATTTGTAGCGACAAATCAACGAGAAACTGTTGTAATCCATCGAATCATTTTTATTTTCAGAATGCCACACTCTAAAATCGGTGATAATCTACGTCCCAGAGGTTGTGAAATCTGGAGATACCGTCACGCTTTCGTGTGATTATGATCTGGAACAAGCGGCGCTTTACACCATCAAGTGGTATCGTGATGATGTGGAGTTCTACAGATTTGTCCCTAAAGAGTCTCCTCCATCGAAAGCCTTTTCGGTTCCTTTTATAAATGTGGACGTAAGTACGTTAAACTAACTTTCTATTTGCAATTCGCCCGAAATTTATAGAATGGTTGTCGAACGCACTTACACGGACGCAACCATTTATTCTCACCACTTTCACGTAGGTATAGGCCACATCTACAATTTCAAAGGAGATAGAGACTTTCCAGATGGGGATAAAAACGGATAACTTTAATTGCAGCAGCATGACGCAACGCCATTACGAATGCACTTAAAAATCTATCCACGTTTGAAACTTTTTTCTCTCAAACGACAGACTCAATTCTTTCGAACGTCTTTCTTAATCGCGGATAGCCAAATTTATAAAAGCGACCTCGGTTGACAGTCGAAATTACATTTCGAAGACTGAAGTAGGTATATGAGTTCCCAGTGGCAACTAATTTGAACCCCAACTAAAATCGACGCAAGTACGAATACCTATAGCGAGGCAACTTTCATCCGGAACGTAAACGTTACCGTAATAATAATAAAATCGATCCATTATTATGATCTTTATGGTGAATTTACAGAGACTTGTCTCCAGGTTTTTATCTCTAAAGGCGATACAGACCAATAATACTTCTATAAATGCGATTCATATAGCCCATTCCTTTTAGCATTGTACTTTCGAAGACGTTGGGGGTGTAAATAAATCTTTTTTAAGGAGTACTGAGCGCTTGCTATCACGAAGTGTTGCTAAATAAGTGTGAGATTCTATGAATACCACCATGAACTGGCTATTTGGCATATTATTTACCAATTCAATTCAATTCAATTCAATTTTATTGTTACCTTTTGACAATGGATTAACATTGTGTAAGGGCTAATCAAGACAGTAAAAGAATAAGATTACATAGTTGCAATTTACAAAGTAAAAGTAAATAAATTTATTTGCAGATGTTTACGAATTCGTCGATTTTATAGATATTATAGTATAATAACTTTTTTAATTTGAACCTGAATTCCCTGAAAGTCTTTATATTTTTCATTGTGCTGGAGAGGTTGTTGAAGAGCTTAATGCCAATGCTATTGGGTGACTGTTGGGATACTTTGAGTTTTGATACCGGCACAGAGAAATCTCGTTGCCTTCTTGTGTTGTAATTGTGTAAGTCCCCATTGCGCACAAACTTATGCTCAGTTTTATATATGTACAGTAAAACCTCCAGTACGAAAATAGATGGCAGAGTGAGAAGACCAAGCTGAATAAAGTGGGTTTTGCATGATTCCCATTTCTTAATACCCACCAAGCAGCGCAGTATTCTTTTCTGCACCATAAACACTTTTGATGCGTATGTAGNTTCCTTTTAGCATTGTACTTTCGAAGACGTTGGGGGTGTAAATAAATCTTTTTTAAGGAGTACTGAGCGCTTGCTATCACGAAGTGTTGCTAAATAAGTGTGAGATTCTATGAATACCACCATGAACTGGCTATTTGGCATATTATTTACCAATTCAATTCAATTCAATTCAATTTTATTGTTACCTTTTGACAATGGATTAACATTGTGTAAGGGCTAGTCAGGACAGTAAAAAAAATAATAATAAGATTACATAGTAACATAGCAATTTACAAAGTTTAAATTAAAAAGTAAATAGATTTATTTGCAGATGTTTACGAATTCGTCGATTTTATAGACTGCATTTTGAACTAATAATTTTTTTAATTTGAACCTGAATTCCTTGAAGTATTTTTCATGGTGCTAGGGAGGTTGTTGAAGAGCTTAATGTCAATGCTATTGGGTGACTGTTGGGATACTTTGAGTTTTGATACCGGCACAGAGAAATCTCGTTGCCTTCTTGTGTTGTAATTGTGTAAGTCCCCATTGCGCACAAACTTATGCTGATTTTTATATATGTACAGTAAAACCTCCAGTACGAAAATAGACGGCAGAGTGAGAAGACCAAGCTGAATAAAGTGGGTTTTGCATGATTCCCACAGCGCAGTATTCTTTTCTGCACCATAAACACTTTTCATGCGTATGTAGATGATCCCCAGAAAATAATGCCATAACACAAACTCGACCAACAACATGTAACCATCTCCATCAATAAATGTAACAAGTGCTGTTCTCCAAGATTATATTCTGGAACCTTTATTATTTTTGTTATGTTTGGATTTTAATGGATCAGTCTGAAAGCGCTTTTTTGCGCGTATTTTTGGCTATTTTCAGCTATGTAGAGTTGATATGTTTTTTTAAATGATTTTACACATTTGAACTATATGAAATTTAATTTTAATCAATCAAGTACGTTATGAAAAAATTGGTTCATATTTGTTCAATGTATCTTGTTATATGGATTTGAGGTCATACATTCTTTCTTTTAATTACCTTCTCTTAAATTTCAATTATTCAAATGTTCACGCCAAGGATCCTATTTCATAGTGCGTTTTTTATTTACCTAAACGTCCATTTCGAATAGAAACAAACTGGAGTTCCCGTTTCGTACGCTTACACCTTCAATACGTTCAAACAAATTTAATCTGTTTTTAGCGCATTTCCACAAAAATAAAAAAAATGCGCTATTGTGGCCACTTTGTCCGTCCGTCCGTCCGTCCGTCCGTCCGCTAACTTTGCGACGCTACTAGATCTTTATCTTAAGAGCTATTGTTCTACTTTTTTCGCTATTTGGTTCGTTATGGTGTCGAGTCTTGTACCAAGGAAGGAATTTTTTCTGTACCGCTTACAAAAAAAGTTATGTTAAAAAAAACAAAAAACCGTTTTTTACATGTTCCATAATTTTACACTTTTGCCGTTTATTAACGATCCTAGAGATCGTTTATAATTTTGCATTGCTATCTGTCGCCTGCCGGTTGGTCTCTCCGTCTGTTCCTTTGTCTGTCTGTCCATCTATCTGTCCGTGTGAACGATAACTTTGTTTAGAAATGTTCGATCGCTTTTACATCTCCGTTAGTTATGAACTGAATTGCATGAAATTCAATATGGGCATAGCTTTAGCCATATAATACGCAATGCCAAAAGTTGAATCGAATCGATTCAAAATTCACAGTGCCCTTTTCGCATCTCGACCATTTATAAACCGAATTGCAAACTTTTTTACTTATAAAAGTATTTGAATGAAATTTGATACATAGGCACTTGGAATAAAGGAAAATCAAACGCCAATTTCAAAATTTGGTTTTGCGCATGCGCAGTGCCAACTTTTTTATTTATGGAAGAATTTAAATGAAATTTGATACATAGGCGCTTGGAATAAAGGAAAATCAAATGCCAGTTTCAAAATTTGTTTTTGCGCATGCACAGTGGCAACTTTTTTATTTATGGAAGAATTTAAATGAAATGTGATACATAGGCACTTGGAATAAAGGAAAATCTAACGCCAGTTTCAAAATTTGGTTTTGCGCATGCGCAATGTCAACTTTTTAGCGCATTTCCACAAAAATAAAAAAAAAATGCGCTATTGTGGCCACTTTGTCCGTCCGTCCGTCCGTCCGTCCGTCCGTCCGTCCGTCCGTCCGCTAACTTTGCAACGCTACTAGTTCTTTATCTTAAGAGCTATTGTTCTACTTTTTTCGCTATTTGGTTCGTTATGGTGTCGAGTCTTGTACCAAGGAAGGAATTTTTTCTGTACCGCTTACAAAAAAAGTTATTGTAAAAAAAACAAAAAACCGTTTTTTACATGTTCCATAATTTTACACTTTTGCCGTTTATTAACGATCCTAGAGATCGTTTATAATTTTGCATTGCTATCTGTCGCCTGCCGGTTGGTCTCTCCGTCTGTTCCTTTGTCTGTCTGTCCATCTATCTGTCCGTGTGAACGATAACTTTTGTTTAGAAATGTTCGATCGCTTTTACATCTCCGTTAGTTATGAACTGAATTGCATGAAATTCAATATGGGCATAGATTTAGCCATATAATACGCAATGCCAAAAGTTGGATCGAATCGATTCAAAATTCACAGTGCCCTTTTCGCATCTCGACCATTTATAAACCGAATTGCAAACTTTTTTACTTATAAAAGTATTTGAATGAAATTTGATACATAGGCACTTGGAATAAAGGAAAATCAAACGCCAATTTCAAAATTTGGTTTTGCGCATGCGCAGTGCCAACTTTTTTATCTATGGAAGAATTTAAGTGAAATTTGATACTTAGGCGCTTGGAACAAAGGAAAATCTAACATTAGTTTAAAATTTAGGTTTGCGCATGCGCAGTTCCAACTTTCTTATTTAGAAAAGCATTGAAATGAAATTCTTCTCATAAACTGAAATTGAAGTAGCACGTCAAAAATGGATTGCCCATGTGCAACGCTATCTTTCATATTTGTGGCCGGATTTTTACGATTTTAACAGAAGTTGCATCTTACAAATGGGAAATGAATGCAAGTGGAAATGCGCTTTATGTAAATCGTTCTCGATTACTTTTTAATTTGTTAATATTACGCCTTGTCCTGATATCGGAAAAGTATGGGAGCGGTGTCAAATTTTCAGTTTTTTGAGAGCGTAGATAATTTCGACATAATCGGAGATTGTTATATACAACCCATTCAAGTAATCACAGTGAGTTATACTTATCTAAATAGTCGGAGTGAAATCTCCAAATTCGGCTTTTGTTCGATTTTATGAGGTTAAGCCGCGCAATCTGTTATCAAGTTGATACTTTCCATAAACTGCACGCCCTTTCCGGTATCAATCCTGGATTTTCCTATGCTATTAGAAAACTAAAAATGAGAAATCGGTAACTAACGAACCAAAAACTTAATAAAATTGATTCTCTCTCTTCTTCCCTGGCAAGAAAGCTTTCGGCGGCTGTAAAAACAATATTTTAATATTTCTACAGGAACGGTTACTAAACGGATAAATTCACTACGTGGGCTATCGACGGTAATACAAGGCTGCAACTCTTTTCGGCACGTTATCTTAAAACAAACAAAACTCAAGGATGGGTAAATCAGGACGGAAGTCTAAGTACAGGGTACGGTTGTTAAATTTATACCTGCTACCTTATCGATACGGCTTTAAATCTTTCACGTGGACTCTTGGAATCTTGGTTCTCTCGGAAATTTATTTAAGGGTAAACACTACCGGTAACTCTACTTCAGTACATCACGTATGGGCTGGAATATTATGAGCTAATTTTGCGGCATAACCCATGACGGCTTTAGCCAGGGGATGACCTTTCTGAGGACCAAGTTGCCCACATGGGGTTTCCATTCTCGGTGTCGGAGATTGTAATGAAGCCTCTGCTTGGAAAACGCGTGGTCTATGTTCCTAGCAACTAACTGAAACACATCCGGAGATTATCTAAACGTGTACAGGGTTCGGAAGTTTTGGCGGTCATGTCGGTAGGAGTATCGGGATTCAGAGGTTCATGTGTACGGTGAAAAGTGCTCGGAAGGACAAGTTCACGAGCAAAGTTTTAAGTAGGCAGGAGAACATCCGCTAAATTCTTGGAGGGAAGAATTCATAGTCATCTTACAATCAGGTAGAAATAAATCCCAACTGTGATTATTTTCTTTGCAAAGTTGGGAGATCATGGTTTTTAAATTTCGGATAGCAAGTTCTACGGGGTTAAGTTGGTGCCCTCTTTTAGTGATCGTTAAAATACGGTGGGTACGCCGCTAAAAGTCGGTACCGTGTACCGTGTAAAACGGTGGATAATTCCAAGTTCGATGAGAAGAAAATGGCAGTACACATTATTATTACGGATACAATAATCCAGGACGGTATCTGGTCGGTCGATTATGGCCTAGGTTATGGCATTAAATTTATTTCGGTACCAAGAGCATTCAGATAATTCAAGAGCATAAATTGATACTTCGGAAGTTTAGGTCTCGGTCTCGGTAATAGGGAAATGGCATCGGCAACACGGTTAAGGAGACCATTTCGGTATTTGATCTTCGAAATCATACTGCTGCAGAAAGATACTCTATCTTGTTAGACCGCCGATCGGACTCTTGATCGAATGTAGCCAACGTAAAGACTGATTATCGGACAGTACAGTGCAGTGACAGTTTTTTAAATACGGTCGCATCTTCTCAATCCCTCAAACTACAGTCTCGGTGACGGAATAATTCTTCTCGGCAGAAGGTAAGGTTCGGCTTGCATAAGCGATCATTTAATCTTCTCCGTCCATCTTCTGGGTGAGAGCTGCGCCAAGTCCTGTGCTGGTGGCATTGGTTTGTAAAACGAGGGGTCGGTCGAAATGAGGGCAAACCAGAATCGGTGCGTTGGTTAAACGGTTCTTGAGAGTTTGGAAAGCTTGATTGTGATCTTCGCCCCAACCCAATTTTTGCTGCATGACAAAACGGCGGTACCATGATGCTACTCCAAGAAATCTTCTGACGGTTTTAATGTTCGGTAATTGTTCTATGGCGGCTGCTTTATCTGGTTCAATTTAAAGATCTAGCTCACAACGTGGCCCAAATACTTCAGCGACGGACGGCAAAATTGACACTTTTCGGGATTGATTTTGAAACTGGCCCAATGGAGACGACCGAAAACTTCTCTCAAATTTACTCGTACTCGTTGAACGTTCTCCCTAACACGATGATATCGTCCAGGTAGCCGAACGCTCGGGGCTTCATTTCTGGCCCGGTATAAAAAACGCTGGAACGGGTCTGGTTGCGGAATGTAACCCAAAGGACATGATTTGGAAGTCCTCGGCCGACTATCGTAAAAGCGGTGATGAGGCGATTAGTTTTGGCCAGCGGTATCTGCCAATACTCAATTGTTTCAGGTCGATGCTAGAGATGTAGCGAACTTGCCGAAGGTGGTCCAAAACCCCATTTATGAACGGTAACGAATAAGCATCTTTTACCGTGACTACGGAAATCGATACAGAAAAGCATTTTGCCATTTTTCTTTCGGACTGTGACAATCGGCGAACTCCACGGACTTTCAGACGGTTCTATGATATTTTCGGCTAGCATAGGATCTACTTCCTCGTTGACGAGAGCTTGCATTCGGGGATTTTGGGGACGGTATGGTTGCTTAATCGATGTGGGACCTGGGAGACTGATGGCATGTTCAGTTAAGTCGAGGTCTTCAAACGGTGGTCATTCGGTATGGAGAAATTCTTGTAATTCGGCTTCTTCGGCGGCGGTTAGCGGTGTGATCACGGAACAAGGAATGCATTGCTGAGAAACGAAACTAACTCGGAGAACAAGGATACTGCCCAGGAATAAATTGCCGATTCGGGAAATAAAATCTATTCCAAGAAGTACTTCAAAACCCAAACCGGGAGCATGATGGACTAAATGCGAATTTTCAGTTTTGAAGATGACCGGAGCAATATAATCACTATGGATATTTACGGGGTAAAACTCTTGGCTTATTTATGTTTCGGTGGACGAACGGTATCGGAAACTAAAGTAGCCGACATGTTTGTTAATACATGAAATGGCGGATCCGGTGTCGATCAAAGCGGTAAACTGTTGACCATGAATGTGAACTTTAATAAACGGACGAGGGTCGATGCCTTGTATCGCAGCAGCCGAGGGAGAAATGTTATCAGAATTACGAACGGGGCGGTTAGGCGCATTATTTTGAGTCTGACAGCCACACTCTCGAGATATTACCCCTCGTCTACTACAGCGAGAACAAAAGAGAATCGGTTGATTACAATACTGGAATCTCCATTGCCCAGTTTGGCCACGCCTCCAGCAAACTGGAGCCTTGTCGGATTCTGCAGATTGACTGGTTGCAGAGTCTGGAAGATGTAGTAATATGTACGGACTTCGGAGAATTTCTGGAAGTAGTAGGGGTGGACTGTTCGAGGGACTGTGAGATGAAGTCCGGTTTCGGATTAAAGTCTGTAGTTTCGGTAAAATAAAGAAGTTGGTTGTTCCGGTATCATTGTAAAGCCAAACCAGTAAATAATCCTGGAAACACAAGAAGCAACTGGTCACGCGATATACTGTAACGGAATCTCATCGAGCCGTTCCAAGAAAAGAAATTGGCTCGGTATTCGATCCAAAACTAACATTTCAGTCTCGGGCTTTGATTTTGTACGATGCTGAAGAAGGCTGATTTTGGTGCAGATTTCCAACAGGAATAGTATACTGACTAGATAAAGGTATCGTCCAGACTGGCGATCACGGTTGGGGTTGAAAAAATCCTTGAGCGGCGGTAGCGTAGGAAACAGTCTCCGGACAAAACGGGTGACTCATAATCGGCGGTTGGGTAACGAGAACGCCTATCGGAGTAAAATTAATAGTCGAAGGCAAACTCTGCTACTAATTTCACTTTGCGGAGCTTATAAACCCAGCTGGTCCAGACGTCAGTTGCATAAACAGCGGTAACTGATTCATTTCCGGGAATTAATTAATTATCGGATTCAAAAGTAGGGTCAACCGAAGGTGCCATTTTCGAAAAATATTTACTATCAATATAAAAAATGGTTTTTTCCAGTAATAAAAAACCTCTACTCCCATTTTTTTTTAATTTTCATTTCTTTTCAGGGCATACCTGATTAACCAATAAAAGTAAATTCCTTTCTGTATCGCATTTTAAAAAATCTAGCAGAAAATTCCATGCAACCCTCGGAGACATTAGAAATGACAACCGTATAACGGCATATGTAAAACACAAATATCTCTTATTACAATGTCTCCGATGGTTGCATGGATTGCGTGGCTTAAAGTTAGGAGGGGCGGTCAAATATGACAAATTTTAATAAAACTGCTGGTTTTCCGTCTATATTTACCTCTGGTGCCTTTATTTTGAATCTGACGCAAAAAATGAATGAAGCTTATTTGTACAGCTCATCAAGGCACATCTTTTTTATATTTTATATATTTTTCGCTATAGGGTTTACCTAGGGGTTTACTTTCTGAGAACAGTGCAAATTTAGAAGTTACAAAATAGTAACTTTTCAATTTAAAATTTCTCAAAAACTAAAAAAAGATGTGCCTCGATGATCTGTACAAATAAGCTTTATTCATTTTTGCGTCAGATTCAAAATAAAGGCACCAGAGGTAAATATAGTCGGAAAATCGGCAGTTTTAATAAAATTTGACATATTTGACCGCCCCTCCTAACCTTAAGCCACGGGATCTCGCTGGTAGACATGACTTTTTTTACTTCACTATATATCAGGATATTTTACACCAAAAATCAGCCATGTAGCGATAAGTCACTTTTTTCCGTAGCCAGCTCTCCGTCTATAAATCGAGCGGTGACTGACTAAAAAATTAATACAGCGTGTTTAGAAATCCATACCAAATTTTGCAGTTCCGTTATTTTATTTTGAAATAAAAACCCCCTTATATCTATTATACACTGAAAAATAAGGGTACATCCTTAATATTATATCGATTAATGTTGTATAACCCTAATTTTGTATCAATTTGATTTGACTTAGTGGCCGCCTTTCCTAAATCTTCCAAAATCCGTTAGTCCTACGTGCTTTACTCATTAAGAAAAAGAACGAAAGAGAAACGCAAATTATGGTAACTATACATATTTGTTACATCCTTTATTTATTTATTGTACAGTGTGTATAAATGTATAAAATATTAAGACTGGTGCTGGAATTCATCTAACCGAGTATTTATGCTAAAATAACAAGAGTAAGATACACAATTCCATGTGCAAGTAGAAGAATTTTGTGCAAGCGGCACTGTGCAACTTAGTGTACGATTCGGAAGTGTCCACTAATGATGGTGGCCTACTCGTAATTGAGAAGAACAGGTTCGTGAAAAACTTTGCCTTCCACCTTTTCCTTTAAATTCTCGCCAGAGTAGGAAATTAGCGGCGAAATTTCGACGATATCACCAACGACAGTTCCGCCAGCGGCCACGATGTACTTCTTGTGCAAGCTAAACAGGTTCTTCCGGCTTGAAGATGGGCAGTCTCTTTCAACATCGTCCGAATATTTCAACGCACTAAACTCGGCATGGCGGGGAACTTCCCAAGTGACAAAGTGATCACTAAACTGAAAGACGTCGTACACATACTTTTCCATTTTAATTCCGTTGGGTTTATCCGGCTTAATCTTGTCTCCGTTTTCGTCGATGAACGGTATCTTCTTTTTGGCAACGTGTAGTTTCAGCTTATCGAGATGTTTCGTGACGATTTCGTTTAGGAAATTGATCGAGAAGTAGTGATTACAAATGTTACCTGCACTAAATACTATCGTTCCCTCTTTGTCCCGGAGATTGGCCGTCTTTTCAGTGATTTCGCTGTACTCGACCACTTGAAAACGGCCGTCGATTTGGCATACGACCCCAACCTCTTCCATTGGGCTTGATTTTCGCACAATCTTTGCACCACAATCCGCTTTTTTGCCAACGCAATAACCGATGAAAGCGGGGTCGGCTACTTTGACCAGGATATTGTCAACACTATGAATGTGGAGATGGCGAATTCCCCGTTGTAGCATGTCATTTAAGATACCCTGATCGCGAAGTGCACGGTATAGGCCGCCATTACCGTCTGGAGCCAAGGCCAACCTTTTCTTATTTTCCAGGAGGATTCGCCCATTTAAATCGAAGCAAGGTAAAAGTCCTTGACGGAACTGGACCACATTTTCCGACCGGAGTCCAAAGAAGTTGTGAGTTTTAAGGAAGCCTTCGGTAGCTTCTTCAGTCGGTCCGCTAGTCATAATATACCAAGTGATGTAACCGTGTTTTCCTGTGTATTCGTTCGCCAAGTTTTCCACTCGCCTAATCCTTTCGGCTTGGATTTGAAAGAGAGTTTTTCCAGACGGCAATCCTACAGAGTACATTCCTTTGGGATACGTAACGCCGAGTCTCGTCCCTTGACCACCGGCCAGTACAAGTACTCCAACATGCCCTTCGGAAATTTCTTGGTATCCGATTCTTTTGTACCTTTCCAACGTTTCTGGCTGTGAGCTTTCTTCCGACTCCAATTGCGAAGGTGGTATTGGTTTCATGTGATTGTCGATTTTAACGACGTCCTCTTCTAGCCTGGCCATCGCGTCTTGGAACAGTTGATTGACTTCCTCAAAGTCGATCGTTTCCAATTGTGACGCGAATTCATTTCGCTGCTCGGATGTTAATTCCTCCCAGAACTGAAGTAAATGACTCTGGTTTGTGCGCTCCACTCGCGTTTTAAATTTGTCGTACGTGCTCATGATTTTTCGCAAATACAATGGACGAATCTAAACAAATTATCGACACGGTGGATTCGCGAACAAATTCTTATATGAAACGAACTATGATGTAATCGGCGAATAAAATCGTAAGGTTGTCAAGATATTCTCACAAGCACTACGTCAAAATTACATGACATGCGTATACTAGCTCGAACGGAGCCGAAAACACCAACTCTAGTATGATAGAGTGAAGCGCACAAGCAATAGACACGTTTCGTATTAGTTTCGGATTATCTAAATAACGGTAGGTATATTTGTTACCAATTTAGGCTTCTTAATTTCATTCATTTTGTCTAAATCAAACATAATCGGGAATACTACAATCTGACCGCCAATGAGAACGGGAACCTCCACATTCAACAAATGTCAGAAACTAATCAATAACACCGTATACGCTTTCTAAAGGCTGTATGACACTAGGCATTTTCTTGCATCATTTCTAATATTATTTCGGATGTAGAAAATTACTTATATTTTCTTGTATCGTTTCCTGCATGCAAATTTGTAGCCTGTGTGATACTATGCAAGTGTCTTGTCAGAAAATGGTATCAAACTCGGCATGTGATTGGTGGAATTGTCTGCGGCACCCTCTATCACGTCTTTCAAACATACCAGTTGGTAATACTGTCGCGTAAGGTCAGGAACAGCTGATTATGCTCATTTACCTACTTATATGCCACATCGTCCTCCATATGAAACCAAATAAAAAAATGTCTACCTCAAACTATACGGAACTCCGAGGAATCATAAATAAACCACCCCTTTATTTATGAATAACAGAACCCATATATGAATCGAGGACGCGTTTTACAGTTTTGCGCCGAAATCGGCGTAGTTCTTGTACAGGAAACTGTGGCAAACACAAATTCCTGTATCATTTCTTGTACAAAAAAATGACACTAGACACTAGGTATACATTTTTCTTGTATTAGAAACGATAGTGGAAAAGATATAAGAAAATGCATAGTGTCATACAGCCTTAATTAGAAAAAATCTGTGTCATATTTGGAGTACGCCTAAAATAAAAAGCAAATTTTCAACACGTTTAAAAATGAGAGGAAACTTTCATCCATTCATAGTCTTCATAGCAAATGTTGGTTTTTCTAAAAAATGAAATGTAAAGCTTGTATCAAACAGCATAAAATTGAAAGTTACGCCACTAGTTAATGTGTTAGAAACTTAATATTCGGAGAGGAATATTACTTAACAATTGTATCCGCCTCGCTTTTCTAGGTCCTATGTAAATATTAGTACCGGAAAATTGGTTTTGATGTATGCTTTGCTTTTGTGCTTAATAAGTTACCAACTATCGTCGCTGTAGCGGAGAGTTAAGACGACTTTTTTCCGATTAGTAAACAGCGTAGCAGATTTTGATTGGGACCCGAGCTTACTACAATAGATCGATGCAGTGAACGAACAGACATTTCCAAAAGCAAACAAAAACGTAATCAAGTTTGTGATATGCGTTAAGTTCTCCAAAATGCGATCGATACCAGGAATAAATTTATTTAGATAAGTAGATACATGCAGAGAGCCCATAATGCAGTTAAACTTCGTGAATTTTGCATTTAATTCCCAATTCTGTTCAAGATACAACTATTCGAAACGGTTCGAACAAATCTAAATAGAGATTGAAAAAGTAAATAGGTACTACAACGTGTTTCCCGTTTCCACATTGAAAGCTACACGTTTGCCAATATACGGCGATGCACTAATTCCCAATTGCAGCTTTTTATACATGTCCTCTTTCGAAAAAATATACTTATTTACAGATTAGTTTTCCAACATTTATAAACAAAACAGGTAATTGTCAATTTTAGATTATATATAGGTTTGTCATTTAAATTATTCACTGGCGTGAGTAGTTTATTGTCTTCTCGCTATCTCACAATCAGTATCTAACAATTAACAAACAATTCAATGATGAGGATTGTATTCAGTTACAATAGGAAAGTGTCGATTTTGTTCGTTGAGGGGGGAAAGAGGGTTTTTAACAGCAGCACAAGAACACATTTGAAAGTTGGAAAACTGTTCAGATTAGAAAATATTCGAATAGGTAATAATTTGATCACACCTACACTGACAGTAGCCATTAATTACATTCCAATTATCAATAATCATCATAATGTTATTTGTATAATTACCTATAGGTAGTTTATTAATTATTGCCGGTATAACCGATGCCGGAAAAGCAATAGTCTCCGAGATAGGTCGTCGGGATAGTAATGGTCGCCGGGATAGGTTGTCGCCGGGAAAACGGTGGCGGGGTGTACGTCGCCAGGATTTACATCCTCGGAATGAGTAGAGTGCACCGTGTTATTACGCTTATATTATTCAGAAAGTGATCCGAGTGAGTAAGAGTTATTTGTGTTTTACACATGGGGCTTTTTAAATCCCCTGAAATTAACACACGAAATTTTTTTGAAAAAATGGGACCTAGTACTACCTGAACACCAACGAACAACATACGAAAGTTTCAAAACATTTGCATTTTTTGTGAGCTACGGGACTAAGTAGTACCTAGATACTACAATCCAAAACAAACGTGTTACTGATTTGGCATTTTGCTAACTGTATATCCGTAAAAATGTCACCACTTATTAATTCGAATTCCCAGATGATATAGGTACATAGTTTTGATAAGAAATGGAAACCTTCAGTAAATTACATCTAAAAGCAACTTACAAACACTTCGGCCCTTCCATTGGACTACTTCGACCGAACAAGAGTTTCTTGAAGAATGTTGCATAAATTTTCTCTAATTTGAATCACAATCCAAGTTTTGTCCTGAATCTAATTTATTCCTTTTAAACGCATGTTATTTTAAAAAATGCGCTATATGTCATGGGTAACATCAGAAAATATGCTCTACAAAAATCTAACTCTGTATAGTGCATAGCTACACTATTAACAAGTTTTTGATAATAGTGTGTACGTAGTGTTCTTATTCTTTTGAATGAATATTGTGTGATCAAAACTCTCTAAACCTTCCCCATATAGTTTTTATTCGTTGAAGTTTTAAAAATAGCGACTATAGTTTCGGCGTACTGCCATCATCAGGCGACTAGAAGTTTATCACAATATAGCAAATTTGAAAACATTAAGAGCTAGTACTTACTGTAAAATTTAACAGGAAAACGGTAAGTTACAAACGTTGAAGACGAATAAGACGAACATGTTGTTTTTTAATTATTAACTGGCCGAAGCCAAGTGAAAGTAATTAAAAAACAACATGTTCGTCTTATTCGTCTTCAACGTTTGTAACTTACCGTTTTCCTGTTAAATTTCACATTAAGTACTAGCTCCTAATGTTTTCAAATTTGCTATATTGTGATAAACTTCTAGTCGCCTGATGATGGCAGTACGCCGAAACTATAATCGCTTTTATTTTTAAAAACTTCAACGAATAAAAACTATATGGGGAAGGTTTAGAGAGTTTTGATCACACAATATATTTCAACCCCCATTTCGAGGAACGATGGATCCAACCCAAAAAAAAAAATCTTTTGAATTAAATTAATTAGGTGCTTTTATTAATCAATTAAAATGTTGATTTGAAACGTTTTTTACGTGGCACGTTTTTAATTACGTGGCATTTTTGTAATAAATACATGTGGGTGCGCGGTTCGCTTTTAAATTTCACCACCGACTATTTGTATTAATTTAAGTTCTATCAACTAATTTAAACAAATTTTAAATTGCGCCTCGTAGAAGGAAAAATCTCTGTTTATTTAAGAGATTGCAGCAAAGGTGGTCGTTTGAGAGAATTTAACTGGATAAGGGCAAATCTTTAGGAACATAAATTCGCTCGTTTTTGGATAGATATACTCGTATAAGTAATAGTCGTAAACGGTTTACGTAAAGCGCATTTCAATTACGGTGTGCAAACTTAGATAATAAGAAAGCTTGTTTTCAAAAAATGTAGTTTCCTTCATCGAAACATTCTGTAACTAGGTATATCAATCAATCCAATATCGTTGCGCGTTCATAAAATTAACTACTTGTGCATCTAGCTAGCTAATGCCGTGTCTTTTTGCTTGGACGGGCCGTAGGTCTTCTCAAACGTGTATGTCTTTTACTTAGCTTATAGTTAAGGAGTATGGTTTTTTAGCAATTACTTTCTTTTTTGTCTGCTTATCCGTCGTACGAGAGGTGAAATCTCAATACCTACTCTAAATTAATGTAGTTATGGAAATTTTGAGAACTCCCGTTGAATTTTTACTCTGGCTAGAGCTAGACTATTTCTAACAATTAGCTCACATTTTCTTCTGAAAACCTTCCCCAATCTGTGAATTTTAATTTCCTTGTGAACTAAAATCACGCAGTCACGTCTGAAGTTAAATGTGGCACTGTACTTGGCTACGAAATTAAATTAATAGTGGAAAGAATTAACACAGCACGTAATTGTGTGGACTGGAGCGGGGAGGTATCCTTCTTGAACCCACAAACTCCTGAAATTAGCCTACTGAGATCAAAGAAACGTAAACTCATGAGCCATGACAACCTGTAACACGACCACGATAAAACAAAAATGAGATATCTTACTATACAAAATAGTGAATGTGGAATTTCGTACCTTTGTACTTCCTATACTTTTCATGAAAGATTGATTTTGTTTCGTTAACAACAACAAATTTGGAATTGTTATGCGCTGCAATTGAGCAATAGACCCGTGATAATAAACTAAATAGGGAAGCTGACCAGCGAGAGTTATTTGCACATAGGCCTAACATGCCAGAGGCCCAAATGTAAGTACTCGTATAATAGCTCGCTTGATGTAAAGGAATAAGGAAAATTCCTGCTGACGCTTTTCTTTTGGAAACTCATGGTTTCGCCGATGATATAAAAACACTGAACCTCATTTTTGGAGGTTTGGGAGGTGGGAACACATTGCTTGTGCAGATGAATACTACTCCGTGAAAAATAATGGTGGTTCTCTAATTAAAAAAGCTCATAGTGATGGCTTAAAGGGGTTAAATTTGAATCTAATTTATCTGATACCAGTTACAATAGCCTTGATCAATGCCTTAGACAAAGTTATTTCAATTCTGTTAAATACACCCAACACTCTCGACGCCCTATGGGAATAGTTATTTGTATTACTAGAGAAGAAAGAGAATTCTCGCTACGTTCAGGTGTCAAACTTTGAAGTTGAGTTGAAAAACACTTCCTTCTCAAGTTTTTTACATCATTTTTTTTCTGAAACTATACAATCA